CAGATTGGTGATATAGCCTTCATGTCTGGGTGAGCTTCTGCCACATGCAGGGGGAAAAATCTCATTTTCAGGTGCTTTGGACTGAGACACATAGGAAATAATCTTGCAAGAGCAATATTTACCAGCCCTTTGCTGTCCCCAGCCCCTCCCGCCTGCCCCCAGGAGAGCAGGATTGCTCGCTCCGGGCGACCATCTCTGCGTCGCAATGATGGAAATGAACCAGGGGCCTTACATTCACTGAGCCATTTGTTGGGATCCAGCATCAGATACTGCTTGGTGGTCTCCAGCTCTTTCATCAGCCACTCATACTTGGCTCGAACCTCAGCAATGCGCTGCTGGCGATGCTCCAGAATTTTCAGTTTTGCATTGAAGCACATGACCTCCTAGAACACAGACAGAGGAGGAGATAGGAAAGGACCTTCCGCTCAAGGTTAGCCCATGCAACCTCTTCTAGAAAGGAACACTTAGGAGGGGAAGCAATGAAAAAGGACCTGGTCGTTGGGAAGTTTGGGAGAGACCTAGGCGATCTCAGCCAAATTTCTGCCTTGACAGACCAGTCAGCTCAGACAACCCAACCACAGGGCAGGCCTAGTACAGGTGTTTCCTAAATTTAGAAAGCAGACGGTGTTCCAAGCTGGACAGATGCTGGTCTGCACTGGGGCATGAAACCTCAAGACAAGGAGGCAGAAAAGCCCCTCAGGACCACCAGCTGCCCCCGCCTTTGGGCCTGTGAGACATATGCACAGAGCTGTCTCCAGAGTCTCTGTGCAAAGGCCCTCAGCTGAGATGGAAGCCCACGGCCTGTCCCAATGTCACAAACTGCAGGGCAGTCTCTCTGGGTTGGAGCCTCCTGCCCAGGGACCTGCTGGGGACACACTGCATGGGGAGGAGGTGGCCTCACCTTGCTGGTGCCCCCTCGCCGCCGCTGCAGGCGCTCCAAGTCATCGATTTCATAGACTTTAATCTCAAAAGGTTCCCCGAGGCCCCTCGGGGTGCTCCGCAAGGGGCCGTCCACCCAGCGGACCCCGGCGCTGCTGGTGGGTTTTCTCACGGGGGAGGAGGTATCGAGGGACAGTGCTGGGATGAGCCTCCGTCGCTGAGAACCTGGGCAGGGGATGAAGCCCAAAGGTCACCTGTTTGAATTCAATCTTATTTTGATGCTAAGAGATGGGGTCGTGACAGGCACCCAGGGATCTGCGGCACAGCTGGAGTTACAATGCCCCAACCTCCACCACCACCTTGACATTGACTCCCTTAAACCTGCACTTGGGCTTTACTTGCAGAAGCTCAGCTAAATCCCTGCTGTACCTCCAGAACCATCTCCCAGTTTCCACCTGTGGAACATACACACACACCCCCAAAACACAGGGCTGGAGCCATGAGCCATACGGGCCCAACCTCAGCGTGGATGTGTGTTACCACGAAACTAAAGAGATGTTCGTATCAGGGAAAAGGGCCTGGTGTTTGGTATTGTGGTTATAGGAGTTCCATAAAATGCTGTTTATTTGCTTATAAAAACAGTACATGCCACGACCTTAAAGGGTGGATATCTGTCTTTCTCGACGTTTCTCCTTTGCTCTGGATAAAGTATTGGCCTGATGGCTGGTTCATAAGGC